AAAAATAACTATTTTCTGAGAGGAAATGTGGCAACTCTCGAATGTTCGTACGGCGTTCCACTTTAGCACGGCAATATGGGTAAAGTAAGAGATGGAAAATGAAAGGACCTTGTTCAAAATTGGCCATTTTTAATCTCGGCACAATTTTCGAAATATATCTTGAGAGGTGATAGAGGATCACTTTCCCGAGACCAAAACATTGACAATTTTTGAGATCGGATACTGAGGGGGTGTAACGGGGTGATTATCCCCGTCTCCGCTCATTCGCGGATTGATATAGATAGTTGAAATTTTGATCATGCTCCTATGTAAACAACTTTTTGAACACCCCAAATTCTGGGGTCCCCCTACGGGGGAACTAAGGGATATATATATATGTATATACACATCAAATTGCAACCTCTATCTTGTGACATACCGTTGGATAGAAAATAAAGAGAGAAAATTTTTAGCGCAAATTTCATGTCAACTTTTGGGTCACCCTGTATTGCATACCGACGGTGAGACTGCAAGAGAGCGTATCTCGGTTCAATATTTCTTATTTTATTTTTTGGAGTAGTGAGATTGAATCGACATCATGACTTGAAATTTTCACAGAGTCTTCTCCACGTGGGGCAAAAAACAATCGCCGAATTTTTCAAGAAACGACGTTCCGTAGTTTTTCATGTAGAAAATGAAGTATGACAGGAAGTCTGCGACGTCAAAAACGAAGATACGCATCCTCTGCAGTTTCTCAATCGAGACGCTAAAAGTCGCGAAAGATTAGAAGTTTAATCTGAACTATACTAAGAAGTTAAATATTATATGATAGCCCCTCTATAAATCGAATTTCAATAGTTCCTTTATGAAGATGCGGGTAAAACCAATCTTTGATCAACCAATTCCTATTTTGCGACGAATCGTTGGCTGACTCATTAGAAAAAATCGCTGTGTTTGTTTACATGTTTGAAGTTCCGATAAGGACAGGACTCCCATAAAATAGATAACACTGATGACCGTGCAAAGAAACGATTCCCCTCGCAGCTATTTCTTCTTTTCTAATTAATAGATGCATTTTGGCCTTCTTGTCTGTAATTGTTTTGTTGGAACGTGGAATTTTGTAATGAGCGTACAAAAGTTTAAGCAACTTTGAGTCACGGGAATTTTTTATAACGTGCTTTAGGTTCACCTTTCTACGAAGCCTAGAAAGGGAGATCATACCATTGAGGACACTGAAATAATAATAATAATAATACTGACCAGGGGGCCCGCTCCATGACCGCTACGCAGGCCAACTCCCGGGATTCCTACTGCGCGCCCCCAAAGGTCGCGGCTAATGAAATCGTCGAAATCGCCCGGACGAACAAATTGAAATTGCCTCGATTAAATTAAGATTTTAAAAGAAAAAGATACCTCCTTCACAACTAAAAGCCAATAATAAAAAGATACCGCATCAACAATTTAAAGCAAGAAAAAAACCCAGACGAACCAAATTGAAATCGACAAATCTCATCCTACTGAGGAAACTCAAGCGAAAGAAACCACACCGGAAAACCTGTGGTGTCATCGTGTTTCTCGCGAAATTGGACATGGTGATGAGTAATTAAATCGCAAATTCTTGAGACATGCAAGAGCTCCATTAGTCTATTATTTACCTCATTTGTCACCGCTTCTATGTAGAGGATCACTTAATTTCCTCTTGTTTCTCTTTGTCTATCACCTTGTCTATCAACTTCAAAATTCAGCCCGCAGGGTTGGTTCTTCTCTGCCAATGTTAGTTCAAGAAATCGTTAGACAATGTGAGAATTAAAGTATCGCAAGGTGCGTATCCTCATTACAATATTTCACGCAGAAAATTTTTGACATGCCGTAAAAGTCTAAAAGTGACTGATTGATAAAAAAAATTAGTGTTCATTGCGGTTTACATACGTATATCGACGGTGTAAGTCGGCAACCACATACTTAACTTGTTTACGATGTCTGAAGATCTCCGTCTCTAGGTTGTTTTTTTAAGGGAGAACAAATTGACATCATTCCTTGAAGTTTTTGCAGAATTGTTTTTGTAGAGAGAAGACAAATCTCGGCAGTTTTGAGGAATTGCCGTTGGGTAGTTTTTCATTCAAAAAATAAATTATGACGGGAAGTCTGCGACATCGCAAACCGAGTTATGTGATTGCCGACTTACACCGTCGATATCGGTTCTGAAATTGAAACAATAAAGTAAGATAGGAAGTCAGCCACATCGCAAACAGATACGCGGTTTTGCACTTTGACCATCGATATGAACAACATAGCTCACGCTCGCTTGAGTGAGAGTGGAGAAACCTACTCGAAAACCAACACCCTACGTCAGAGAATGAGTTACGAAATCAGCCTTATTCAAAATAAACTTACCTTTCAACAAAAAGCCAGTGATAGAGTCTACGAACATTAATTTCCTGCGCTCATGCGCCATTTTCGTAAACTTTTCTTGTGATTCATGTTCAGAAAATAAAAAATAAAAAATAAAAAAAAATAAAAAAAAAAAAACCACCAGCCTGTGGCCAAGTATTATTGTACAAATATTGAAACAGCCCATTTATTTGATCATTTAATTTTTATTTTGTATTCTATTTTGACGAAATGTTTCCTTTATCGTTTGTCATTTATTTTATTTCATATTTGCTCCGTTCATTTTTTATTTTATTTTTTTATATTTTATATTTGTTGTTTGTAATTTTAAACATTTTTATTGAATTTTTACGTTTAATACATTTTTTGGCTTATTTCTCAATTTTTTTAAAGGAAGCACTATCGCATCGATGTATCGTCGTCATATGTTTTAAGTTTTCCCGTAAGAGAAAGAAATCCTCAAATTGAGAAGAATCTTTCAGTTAAGACCTTTAGCAATGAAATTCTCGTAAATTCGATTAAAATCCTTCCAAAAAGAGATCAAACTAAAATCTCAGCTATCCCATGACAGCTGAAATTTTAATTAGCAGAAGAATAACATTTCTTATCTCAGCGTAGCTGTCTTCAAAGAATGCAGTGGTTATCATTGTGTACAAAAAAGAAAATGAATTCTACACGGGGAAAAAAATGCTGATTCAACAATTCAATTGCTAAAAACAGTATGAGTGCAATGTTTCAACGCAGATTTTACAATTAAAAAGTGCTACTTTAACCAGATTGTAAACTAATTTAACCACGGGGGTGTTAAAGTAGCATTTTTTTGTTGTAAAATCTGCGTTGAAACATTGCACTCACAGTTTTTAGCAATTGAATTGTTGAATCAGCAAGTTTTTTTTCCGTGAATGTCTGTTTGATGAGGGACCCGAAAACAGCGAAACAATTCGATAATAAATTATAATCGATGGCAACAGGACTTTGCTCTACCATATGTATGTGAAACAATTGATATAAACTGATGCAAGTTCCTTTACCCCGGATTGATTATTCATAACGGCCTTCAACGAAAGAGAAGTAGACATGTCAACTGAGTTGTTGAGGGACGCGTGGACATGAGTTAGTTGGCGCGGCGATGCTACTATTCGTGTTTGACGACTGTCTGTATTGCATACACAGGACAATGCAGGCGCACTCACTTCGGGCACAATAATGTCTGCCGTGCTAAACTAGCAACGCTGGTGATCCGATGGGCAGTAGCACTTTTGATATTGATGGACAAAGCCATAGGCAAAGAAGACATAGGAAGTATGGAGCTATTCTATTGGTTCAAATTGTTGGTTCCTATAGACTGAGAGAGAAAATGATGGACTACCCTGGATTGCCGGTAGTTTGTCTATCACTTACCTAACTAACCTCATTTGTCCATTGCAACCACCCGCTTCCACTATTATAACAGGATTCCTTCATTTCCCTTTTGACCTCTTTGTCCATCACTTTGCCGATAAATTTCAATAATCAGCCTGCATGCGATAAAGGACCACCTTTGCGCATTTGCACAGCCGCACAGCTCGAATTTCCAAAAAATCAACGTGCGCAAAGAAAAGTGATAAGTTGAAGTAAGGTGTAAGTAAGTAGAGGAAAGGATACCGAAACGGGCCGTTACCATGGCTGAATTTCCTTAACTCTACAAATTTTCACTTATTGCGGGTCTAATTTTTTTACGGAATGCGTTATGATTCGGTCACTTCAGCTTCATTTCAGGATTAACTCTAGCCTATACATGGGTCTGAAGGCCAATAGCGAAAAATTCGATTTTTTTTGTTTTTTTTTTTGCATTCGACCGCAAAACCCGCGTTTTTCGCCAAAATCGGCTTTCTGACTCATGTTGAGGCCAGTATTAGACCTGAGAAGAGACCAAAAATGATCAACTTATGATGCATCCGTAGAGTTGAAGAAATTCAGCTAGACAGGGGCAAAACGGCCCTTATCACTTATCGATGCCTCTCCTCTATTTTTGGACCTTTAGGCAGAAAATAACGTCGATTCCTCCGTTTTTCATGATACATTACAGTCCATTTGCGTGATAATGACCTTTTATACCGGGAATACTTGGAGACAACCTAGCTAGTAACCACACGAAACCTTGTATATTTTTCTTTCGTATTTAATTCTTTAAACAAACAAATATATTTACAACATTAAAACATGAATATATTTTTTGTGAAACAAGGTAAATTCACAGAGAGTTTATAGGGTTGAGTAGTCTATTTTAAAAGGGCTAAGTAGTTCAGTCCTCTGTTGAAGAAATAAAAAATTAAAAATGAGAGAAGATCAGGCAACGTGGCATTCAGTTAAGTGCATTCTCTTTATTGCATACTCTTTTGTAAACGTAGGAAAGGGGAAAAAGGCAAAAAAAAAAAAACAAACAAACAAACTGAAAAACAGATAGAAAAGGACAGGGGGAAAAAATGGTGAAAAAGCGATGCTCTCTTTCTCTCTGATTAACTTTTCGGCAGCGTTGGTTGCATATTCAGCGCCTGGAACTCGTTGACCCTTGTCCGTGAAGGGGGAAGCCCGTCTACGAATTCGACGCTCTGAGCAGCCATGTGCAAGCGGAGCTCGACATTTTTCGTGTCCGCCATTGTTAGTCTTGAGCTCGGATCCGTCGAGAGTGGTACTGTAATTCTTCCGCGTCGCTCGTGACTATCAAGCGAATATTAGTCAAATCCCTCCATTTAAACTGCAGTTTCTCCCCAAAGATATTGGTCAAACGAATTCTCGCTCCTCACCGCAGGTTTTGGTGTTGTGCGTTTGTGGTTTTGTGAAGTGTTGTGCGCGTGTTTGTTGGATCGACTTTGCCGGCATTTCTCCCTCCGCCGGATATTCTACGCAGTTGAATTTTCGGTTAGTTGCCATTTCATCCTTATTCTTCCATCGACCAAAGCCCTGTTCTGTGTATGTAATTCTCGCACGTTTTTAGTTCAGTATTCTGTTAATTTTGTCTGTTATGCAATCGTGAGAGTTCAAGTTGTGGCTTCATCATAGCATTCCTTCCTAGCCATGTAACGGTTTTTTTCGCCAGAGCCACTCAGCATTCCGCAACAAAGGTTTTCGCACTTCTTACCTCGCGATCATTACGTAGCTTTTGCCCGGCCTTTGTGCTTTGTGTTGCCCATTGCGAACAGAACCATGACCCCCCCTCTTACTATTTTTAGGCTTTCTTTTTCTGCTCCTATTTTTAAGGTTGCTATTCTAGTATGCTTTTTCGTAGATAATTTTATTGCTCGCAAGGCCGTGTGATGCCTTCAAGCTGAACGTCTTACCAACCCTCTTTGCTAACCAATTTCCTCGATTCCTAATCGAATGTGGCTCAGCATACTGCTTTCTGCATTTATAATTTTTACTCACGATCCCACGGCAGATTTCAAGTTATTTGCTATTTAAATCTTATGGACGTACCAAAATCGTGTACTGAGGCCAGAACAGGGCTTTGTTCATTCATTTGCATTCAGATTTGTTTTTAAATTGGCCGACGAAGTGTGCTGTATGGCAAATTGTGCCTGAAGCATTATTGCAACTGAGAATGTACTCCATAATCTCAGTTGCCATATCCCATATCGGAACAATGTTGCTGTACTTTATCGTGGATTTTTCTGAAAAGTTCAACAGCTGACACTGAATCGGAGATTACCTAATTCCTAGGCTTCATTCACTTGCGGGCGTTGGGTGAAGACTGGGCATTTTTTGGTTGTCCACCTCAAAATCTTCACTGCTAAGTAATTTATATTTCTAAGAGAGGAAATAATATCTGAAGTTTCTGAATTGATTTTGCTCACAGCATCGTAACATCCTGAAGAGAATTTAGTACTTACTTAGTAGTTCCAGCAAATTCCATGCATTTGCTTTAATTGTATTGGATGAAACGTCAGCGGAGATTCCAAGATACCGCAACCAAGAAATACCACCGCTGCATTTCTGCAACCTACGCTTCATTTACCACTCCTGAAATCTGAACAAAATATAATTTTGTGTTTCTATAGAGCTTTGGACCTGCCTAAAGGGTTTATTTTCTGGGGAAAGGAATCGACATAATAACTCATCCCTTTTTTATTTGCCTTGAGAACCATTAAGGTGATTCGATGGACGCCATATTTTGTGTCAGAACGGCATGCGATATATCGCATCAATTGGTTCCATTTTTTCAGCTACTCGTCATTTTTCTGCAATTTTGAGATCGCAATTCTGTTGTCAGGAGACTAAAGCACTCACTTACCAATTTTAACAAAGAAATTCAACGTAATAAAGGTGTGGTTTTTTCAGAGAGAAAATATCGCATTCGAGTGCAGTTTCGATATCAGTATCGAATGCGATGTTTTCTCTCTGAAAAAACAACGCCTTTATTACGTTGAATTTCTTTGTTAAAATTGGTAAGTGAGTGCTTTAGTCTCCTGACAACAGAATTGCGATCTCAAAATTGCAGAAAAATGACGAGTAGCTGAAAAAATGGACCCAATTGATGCGATATATCGCATGCCGTTCTGACTCAAAATATGGCGTCCATCGAATCACCTTAAGTGTGACACATCCCATGATGTAAGCATCTCTGCAGCCTTTTCTAGATACCTACTTTGACGAGGAACTAGATATTAAGAGTTTGGCTGCTATTCACTCTTTAATTTTATTTTTTATCAAAGGTCTTGGCTTATCCCCGTGCTGCACTGCTGCATCATATAATTTCCTCAATTCCTTGCGTCTTTACTTAAGGAGACTTTTACAACCAGCCAGAAGGGAAGAACATTGCGATCCTTCTTTGGGCTGTATTCTCTAAGACCCTCAAGAAAGTCAATATTCAGTAATTTCATTTGCCATTTTGATACTTACACTCCTGTAGATAGAAACTATTTAAAAATTATTAGAGAGTAGTAGGCTGAGGTTTTTTATAATTGTAGCATTTAATGTTAATCACTATTGATTCCCTTAATTTTCTAATGTCGAAGTTCACCATACTTAGCGACTTTCTCTAATTATATCAGATCAGGAAAGCAAGAACTTTACTTTAGTAATAGCTTTCTTGTCTACTACTTTTTACCACTTAACGATGTCATTTCCCCTTGACTCAACTGTGCACCGCAACTCTTAATGTGGAAGGTAATCTGGGATGAAGACATCGCAATAGGTACAAAAAAACACTTAATTTTTTGTGCATTACTTCCTCCAAGAGTAGGAGAGAGGGTTTCAAAAGAGTAAGTTTCATTGCTATATTTTAAGGTTAAAGTAAATTTGGTTTAAGTGATTGCAAAGCAAAAATAGAATGATTGCTTTATCTAGGTAACTTCTGACCCTTGTTGTATCAAATTCCAAAGTCCAACTACACTTTAAATTTTCTCTGAGTGCATGAGTTATTATGAAGTCTCCCTGTGAATAAAACTTCTTAGTTTGTTCATTAGAGTGTTATGGACGCTGTAACTGCTTTTGGTTCTAAGGAGTATCTTTTGAATCGTCTATTCAAAATATGTTTGAATAGCTTGATATCTATTTATTTACCCTGACATATTTTAGAACCTCTTGTGTGTTAGGTCCACCTCAAGTATTTTCTGAAGCAAGAACACCATACTTACAGGGTTTTCATAAATGAGGGGCTTGGAGGACAATGCGCTCAAGTGCAGTTTTTGAAAAGAATGATTCCTTAATAATTCCAAGTAAAATTAGTATGAAAGTATATTCTGTGAAAAATTCGCTCCCAAATTCCAATTTCCAAGCATCGAAAAGTAAGTTTGAACTTTCGATGAAGAGATTCTGACCTACAAGACTTTTAATCATTGATAAATGCTATTCTAAGATGGTATATCGGATAGACGCTATCAGTAGTGACGTCACCACAGGAACTCTCCATCCGGTCAACCAAGGTTTTTGCGTTTGGCCCAGATATTCCAGACCAAATTTTCATCAAAAACCAAAGTCTGTCATCGGTGCCAAACTCGCTCCTAATGTAAACAAACGAACGGCGACATAGTCCGGACATAAACAAAGCGGACCCAGAGCGGACTTCCTCGAGATGTTCTAGACTCAATTTCTTAGCGTTAGCGTTTCTTCACCTCGACAAAAGAACTTTCGTCCGCGTCCAACATTTATCCCTTTCGTAAAATCAAATATCAGTTACCCCGTTGATCTATTAATGGTGATTTCAAGTGAAATTGCGGCGAGATACTCCAGACTCCTAATGTAAACAAAGCGGCCTGTGCCTGGTCGAGATGTTCCGGACTCATTTCTTCATTTACGTTTCTTCATCTCGACCAAAGAAGTTTCTCGCGCATTCAAAGTAACATTTTCCGATTCCATTGTTAGAGAAGAAACAAGTCATTTTGTTGTAAGTTAGGATAATATTTGTGTTGTTTAAGTGGCTTGAGCATTGGACTACCTGGCTGCGCCTTGCATAGCTGCCTCTATATCAAGATGATTGGGAGAAAAGCTTACTGGTTGATGTGCGAATCTGAATCCTAAATCCCTAGGAACGGTAGTTGTGAAATCCAGATGGATGTACAATGCTAGGTACCTTGCTCCTCACTCACTTTCTCATGGATGTTCGCTGGTCTCTCCAAGGTTCTGGTTTTGCGATGCGTTGAAGCCAATGCTTTAAGTTTAGCTATAACAACCAGGCTTCGGAGATACTAATTAACAATCCTAGTAGTCACCAAATTCTCCAGCAAACCCGCATAGTTGTCTATTAACAGCTGAAGAAGCAATGGAAACCGTATTTACCTATGACAACAAGATTTTTTCCGTTGGAACTCTGATAGTAAGTAAGAGGGGGAACTATCACCTTTAAGGCACGTTTCTCCATGAATTTTCTTGTTTTTTGGCATCAAACTAAGTAGAACTCAAGGAAAATGAGGCAAGACTTTACAAGTTACCATGGTTCATCTGCTGAAAAAATAGAAGAAAGTCTAAAATTCCTAATGAACATCACCAAGATGGTTCTGCCACCAGCAGTTCATTTTTTAAGGCACAGATCAAATACTGTGCGGTTATCTATTATTCTCACGGTGCCCATCAAATTATAGGTAAGAAACCTAGTCCTGTAATAATAATGGCATGGAATGACGGGCTCTAATTGGTGACTTGACCATCCCCAATAAGTTATCGAAAGAATTTACTTCTTAAAAGATCCTTTGCGAATGAAGCCAAGTAAATATGCGGATAAAAGTCCCGTGTGATATGTGAAGTGTACTTATTCAAAGTAATTTCAAAGGGAAGGGATGAAATGTTCAAAAGGTAACGTCCAAATTTGCAAAGTTGTAGAGGCGCTAGGCACAAATTGGACAAGGTGCCGCTAAGTAATTATCAAATGAATTTGTTATTGTTATTAATTACGGAAAAGAGGAAAAGAGAATCAGGCCGAATGCCAAAATCCAAAATTCGAAAAGTGTAGGAGCCGAACCTTCTTTGAGATTACGGGCGGCGAGCGGCAACCTGATTGGCTACGAAGATCGCCGAGCATGGCCGAAGGCCTACTCGCCGCTTGGTAGGTGTTGACGGCGGTTTGACAAACAGCAGTTTTTGGTGAAATGTGGTCCGGAATATCTGGGCCAATCTGTTCACTCGTCAACCAATTCTAAATAGAAACAATGACATAACCTCTAATGCAACCATTAAATCGATTTATCATCACATTGCGGCCAAAGTATCACAGTTTTGTCTTTTTGGTACGCACTTTGTCGCCAAGTTTGGGAAACCAAACTTGACCAATTTTTACCGGAACGAAAACCAACAATCAGAATTGCTTGGAATTTTAAACCCATTACTCCTTCCCTTGTCAATCTCTAACATTTTTATGAAAGTAATTATATCAAGAATTGAGAATTTGCATGCAAATTTTTCATTGCTTCATCTGAAAGTGCTTAAAG